AGGTACTCCATGTCGCGCACGAAATCGCGCTCGGTGTAGATCACCTCGTTGATCGCTTCCTGGCGCTTCTTCTCTGCGTCGGACACGCTGGCGGCGATTTCGGCGGGAACGGAGTGGATCCAGAGGGTGCCGGCGTCAGGCTCATCAGCACCGAGGGACTCGCGGGAGGCCTCCTACATAACGCGTTAGTGCCGGTCGTCCTCGTCATAAAGAACAGGTTCGCACCTTCCGCAACCCAGGCTGCGGCTTCATATTCAGCCGTGCTTGCTGCTCGAGCCGCCTCGGGCACGCAATACTATAACACAGCTGGTCCCGACTGCACGTCGGGCTGTAGCAGTCCGCCAGCAGCGTGAACACCCCGCTCGGCAACGGCGCCTCGTCCTCCTCCGCCGCCGCCTTCCCCACCCCCGCGTCCAGCCCCACCGGCCCATCCATCGAATCTGGGGATTTCACCCCGCCCGCCGGCGCCGGCGCCCCGAGCAAATTCTCCCCTTCCCCATTGACCTTCGCCCCTCCCCCACCCACAACTGCCAGCTCCCCGCTCCCAAACGGACTCGGCAGCTTCGTCCGAAACTGATACAGCTCCACCACACTATCCCGCAACCGATGGTCATACGTCACATCATGGAAGAACTTCTGCGCGTCGAGCGCCCGTCCCAGGAGCAGCGCCAAATTGCGGTCCGTCGTCTTGATGATATGCGCAATCCGGTCGACCGCCTCCCGCCCGTCAAACGCATCGTGGTACGTGAGCCCGTCCTTCACGCGGTCCGCGCGCGGCACGCGCGTCTGGAACGCCTCCGCCACGCGCGAGAGCAGCGCGGGGTACACGATCGGCTGCGGCGCGCGCTTGGGGCGCGGCGCGACGGTCGAGGAGGACGAGTTGGCGTGCTGCTGCAGCGCGTGCGGCGTCGCTGCGCCGGGTGGGAGCGTCGGCGCGGTGGGCGAGTTGGGCATGCTCGCGGCGGACATGCTCATCGCGCGGTCCTGCGCCGTGCGCTCGCGCCGCGGGCCCGCGAGCCGCGGGAGGGTGCGAGAGGTTTCAGAGGAGCGGCGCGATGCAGATGCCGTGGCGGGCGAGTTGAGCGAAGCGTGCGAGGCGATCGAGGCGGGGGAGTGGGAGGCAGAGGCGGGGGAGGTACCGGCGAGGGGGGCGTTGTGCGGGGCAAGCGCCAGCCCGAAGCCGTTCTTAGTCCCAGAATACCCGTCGTGGTCGAAGCTCGTCGGGCTCGTCGACGAGCTGGCGACGGACGAGCGGATGGACGTGGGCGGCGTGTCCGATGCGCTCGAGAAGCGGTGCGCGGGGTGTGAGTAGCGCTGTCCGTATTGCGCTGCCGAGGCGACGTATGGCGGTTGCGATTGCGCTGCAATGGTGTTAGAACGCGCAACGGTGAGCGACATGGAGCAGAATGTTAATAAATGTGAAGCAGAGTGTGAATGAAGATAACCACAACGCCCAGTCAAGTCAAGCCAGCCGCGTGCCCACGCCGACCATGATAGTCCAGCCACAAATCCAACAAAAAACGCCGGCAACACACCGCACGACGACACCACATCGTCATACAGCCACGGAGACAAAAACGGAGATATTTGATATCAATTCCCGCATCTCGATAAACGGGATCTACGAGCGCGTAGACATAGCAGCGCGCGTAGATAACCGCGGCACGCCCCGTGAGCCCAGAACAGAAATGCCGTCCACGCACGCACATCGCGAGTTCGCGATCCACATCGCCGAGAACGTCAGCATTGGGCACACGACGAGAGCGAGCGCGAGAGCAAAGGTGCGGGAGAGACGATGCCAGGCTCGAGATCCCCAGGCCCAGGCTCGGACCAAAAAAACACCCAGGAACAGACAGGCGGGGAGTGTGGAATCGGAGGGAAAGACAAAAGAAGAAGAAGAAGAGAAGAGGAAGTAGGGAGGCAAGATCCCGCGATGCGTCGCGGGAGGATGGGCACGCGGCATCATGGCCCGAATGTGCCAAAGAACCGGCAGCGCCTACAGTAGGCGCTTCTCCGATACAGATCGCACTTGAGTCCCCAATCCGAGGTAACCCCTCCATTCCCCCAAACCCCGGACCCGGAACCCGAAACAACGCCGCAGGACCCACCAAGTGGGAAGAAAAGAACGCAAGAAGAAAGATGCAAGCGGAAGAGGAAGAAGGCCGATTGAAATAGGAATCGAAATAAAACCAAAAACAGCCAAGAGAGGAAGTAGAACGCACATTGTAGTTCTGTAGATAGAAACGCAAAAGCAAATCAAGTCAGCTCGGGTCCGAGGGAGGGGGAAAGAGAGGGTAAAGGGAGGAAGGGAAGAAAGCAAGATAGGTGGAGGAGGGAGCGGAGAGGCGTCGATGCAATTTAGCATTTCACATGCTCATACATCCGGCACAGCACCCCACCTCCAACTCGAGCACATCCGCACATCCACATCCACGGCGCCATACACTTCTCCGGCGTATGGCCCTTTTCCGAAACGCGCCACGTTTGGGTCTGGAGACCTCAAGCCCGCCGCACACCTGGCCAGAGGCCCACACAGCCCGGGGTACGGCACGCTGCACGCTCGCACCATCTCTCCCACCTGATCGGATATACAGTAGTGTAGGGGTCCCGCTCGTGCATCGGACACGTTAAACGCCCAGACCAAGAGGTCGCGTACCAGCACCCCTGTCGAGCGCACACCGAAAAGGCGCTGCACCCGCTCTGAGCCCAGCGTGATTAATAGACGGGACAACGCATGCGCATGCCAGCCTGGACCGTACGCTGCCCGATCGTACGTTGGACTCGCACATAACCCCGTAACGGGATAACGCATCGGAAGAGGGAGGAGAAGAAATGAAACGGAACGGAAATAAACGCACGTTGCAACTCTGTACGCAGAAAGCAGAAGGTACAAGTCAGCACGGGTCCAACCAGAGGGAGAACGCAGAGAAAGAAGATAAAAGACGAAAGATGGGCGAGAGCGGCCCGCGCGCGTACTCATCTCCCCACGAACGTGTGCGGGACGACATGAGGCCCGATATGGGAGGGCTAGGTCCTCCCGGCCCTAGCCCTGCCCGACCTCTCAAAGATACCATCTCGACCGCAGGCGCGCACGGGAGGGTATATGCAGGCCTGGACGGCGCGAGACGTCTGCAGCCCGCGCACCACGCCACATCTCATCGCACCACGTTGGTGCAGCGCGTAAATACGAGGGCCGCGCCGACAGTTCCCCACCCACCCAGCTCGTCGATCCGACAAGTGCGAGGATGGGCGGTAGATATGCACAGCCGCGTCCCGCCACGAGGGCAACACCGAAAAGCCAAGACGCAGAAGGGTAGAGACTCACGTTGTGGTGCTATATATATAGACGGGGGGAAGATATAGTCAGTATCGTATAAGGGAAGGGAATGGGGAACGAGGAACGAGGAATGTATCGCCGCCGGAGACAGACTCGGAGCCAGCGACAGACTGCACGAAGGCAAGACAATGTCAATCTGGTCTACTTGCTCGTGCGCGGCGCGTGGTGTGTCGCGGGCCCGCCGTAGGTCGACGGCATCTCATCTGTTCGCCTCGCCTCGCCTCGCGGGAGGGAAGCGAGCGCGTGTCCGCTCGTATCGGGGAGCGGCCGCATACAATCGATGCGGATGAAGCCCCGCTCCCAGTCCAAGAAGTAAAGACAAGAACGAACACGACGACTCACGTCTGGCCCACGGCAACTCGCTCTCCTCGTCGTCTTCCTCCCCTCCCTCTCCTCCCGCTCCTCCACCATTCCCATTCGCATTCCCGTTTCCATTCGGGGGGTGCGAGTGACTAGTGGGGCTCGCGGGGCTCTCGTACGAGTCGAAGCTGATCCCCAGCCTGCCGCCGTCCCCGCCTATCGCCACGCTCAGCGCCGGCGGCCCCTGCTGCGCCGTCGGCTGATGTGCGTGCGGCGGCGCCGGGCTGTGGCTGCGCTGCTGCTGCCACTGTGCGCCGTGGGCGACCTGCGCCTGGTACGCCTGCGCGGGGGTGAGGCCCTGGCCGTCGAGCGGGCGGTCCGGCAGAGGCGCGGGGACGCCGGGGTGGTACGCGGGGCGGAGGGACGGCGCGCGCAGGGAGGGTGGGCCGCCGCCGCCGTAGTAGCCCGGCGGCTGCTGGGGGTAGGCCTGCGGGTAGGGGTGTTGCTGGGGGTGGTATATGGGCGGCCTGTGCTGGAGGTGTTGTTGTTGGTATGGCGGCTGGGGCTGCTGGGGGTATGCTTGGGGGTATGGCGGGGTGGAGCGGGGGGCGGGGCGGCGGCCGAAGATGTCCTCGTAGGCGGCGTTGCGCTCGGGCGGCTGGCGGGGGCCGAGCGGGCGGTCCATCCAGGCAATGGCGGCGGGCAGAGTACACTTTTCGGCGATCACAATACAAACCGGCACCACATTCACAAGACGTCACTTGAACCATTGCGAGTTGTCGTATTCGTACCCGCGTCTTTGTGTCTCACTTGGAATTTCAGCGCGATTGTTATCATGTCATTCATTTTTAATTCATTCTGTGCCTTGGCCACCTCTCATGTTCCTCTCCTCGTGCGTTCAACGCGAGCAACCTACTCTGTCTCTGTTTCTGGTCGACGGCGTCCTAGGTCAAAGCCCTTCCGCCGGTTGAGAGCTATCTGCTATCCAATCAACCCTCCGGCGCTGAAAATTATGAAACGTCTGTCTACCACAAGTCGGCACGCCCACCTATTTCAGATGCGCTATCATCTCCGTACTGTATGCAAGCCTGTCGACTCGTTTTGTCTTCAAGTCTTCCCTTCTGTTTGTAACCCTCGCCATCCTATGCTACCAGACCTGGCCTATTCACCTTTCAAGCCACCACACCTGGCCTATTCAACTTTCAATCACTTCATCTGGTCTCTCCTTCTGTCTCTCTGACAAGTCGTCATTATCGCCCCTTCTTTTCATCCGCCCCCTCTCAGTCTGAGCAATGCAATTTTTCTTTCTCTTCCAACCTTTCCACGACCAGACGTAGGAGGGCCTCTTCGACTGCTTGCCATCGCATTAATGGGGTAGTGGTAACCTGGGTCGTTGCCATTCAAGAGAGTGCGCTCTGCAATGTCTCGACCCGCCGGGGGTTCGATTCCCCCTTAATGCATAAGATGGTTCTACACCACTTTTTTGCTGCTGCCAGTCCCAACATTCCCCTTTGGCGCCTCTGTCGTTTTTGATCCCAAGGTCTTTATTCCCTCTTTCTGTGCCCATGTGTATTCTCATTGCTATACCACGACACCACCCAAACTGTGTAGCATTAATGGGGTAGTGGTAACCTGGGTCGTTGCCATGCGGGAATCAAAACATAAATGCTCGACCCGCCGGGGGTTCGATTCCCCCTTAATGCATGCAATTTGCATCATGTTGTTTTTGCTGCTTCCAGTCCCAACATTCCCCTTTGCCGCCCCAGGTGTTCTTTTGGTCCCCCGGTATTTATTTCCTCCTTCTGCACCTATGTGTATTCTCATTACTGTACCACAAGACCACCACAACTGCAGTAGCATTAATAGGGTAGTGGTAACCTGGGTTGTTGCCATACACTACTAGGTTCCATGGTTCAATCCCCCCTTAATGCATTTGCCTCTGTCGCTATCTTTTTTGCTGCTCACAGTTCCCACATTCCCTCCCCACCTCTGCTTTTTCTCCTTTTTATCTCAAATTTGGTTCCCTCCCCACCCATGTGTATTCTCACTGTGAGGAATTGATGAGCATAGCATTATGGTCCTGGGTTGTTGCCATAAAGTAAAAGGCCTGCACTCTTGACCTGCTAGGGGTTTGATTCCTCTTGAATGCATTCTATTGTAGTTTCCAGAGTTTTTGTGTGCTGGATTCAGTTCCCTTTTCCCCGTTTCTTCACCTGTAGCAATTTCTTGGCTCTCAATCGGTGGCAATTGAATATGGTGGTGCACCATACCAGAAAGAACTAGCATCCAAATAAGCATTGGTCAGAAAAAAAACTCCCTACCCTATGCTGTTGGGAGGAATTGAACCTCTAACCCTTAGGTGTTGAAAGGGATGGAAATATACAGGATGGAGGGAGGAAGCCACTGTGGCTACAACAGCTTTGGGACCAAATGCCATTTGGTTCCAATGACAAGTTAAAGACTCAGAACCAGACAATTCAAAAGAAAACGAGTGAGCAGAAAGCCCAAATTGAACCTCCAGCTCAGATGTGGGCGATACTGGATGGGAGTGGCCTCTGCAAATTTCTCTGTCTTTGAAGCTGGGGTTTTGGTTTTGTGATTGGATTTTTGGGGGACAAGGGTGAAGGTACACAGATACAAAAATAAAACACTGAATGAAATTATGTACAAACAAACATGCAACTGGGAGGATTTGAACCTCCGACTCCTTTGGCAATTTTGACTCCTTGGTGATAAATGACAAAAGGTGGCCTCCATGGCATAGCAGCTTATTTCACTTAATTGGGACTGGATGAGGTTGAGTATTTGGTTAGACTCAAAGCCAGACATTTTAAAAAACAGTACCAACAGAGACGACGCTGCTGGGAGGAATTTAACCTCCAACTGCTTCACCATGTCAATGGCTTGGAGTTGGCCTGTACAGCCCACAACAGCTTATCTTATCTGTATGGGGACAGTATGAGAATAGCATTGTGGGTAACAAGGCTGTGGGCACACAAAAATAAATTACCAGAGGATAGGCCATGCAGTTGGGACAAATTCCACCTTGAAATCCCTCCAGTGAGCACTTCAGAAGATACTAGATGAGGACAGTTTCAACAGCTACAGCAGCTTATTTTATTTACTCAGAGACCAGAAGAGGTTAGACTTTTGGAAAAAAAGACAGTTTAGAAAAACCAAATGGATACTGTGGGAGGAATCTATGATGGTCGGATTGCACATCTATTCCGGCACAACACTTTCTGCCATGTGTAACACTTTCTCAGGTGTGCACAACATTTTCTGATGTGCATGTAACACTTTCCTGTAGCATGCAACACTTTTCTTTCATCCGGCCTCCTATATTCTGCAAATGAAATTCAAGCAGTACAGTATTCGCTGCAAGGTGCCGGCCGTGGTGACCACATCTTCACATGCTGTGTTCCCGCCTCGATGTTCGACTTCTGGGCATCATTTGTGGTCCCAACACTCTCAAATATATCTGTCCTGACCTTGTTCTGTTGGCATCACACTTACACCATGGTGCTCAAATCTGATGTGCCCACCCTGTAGCCCCTGCCATTTGACTCCCTCCACATTGTGTCCACTGCTGGTGCATTGCAGGCCTGGGTTACTGGGCATTTTTCGATTCAGGCATTTGAGTATGTTCAACCATTGACCCCCTTATTTCAGAATTGTGTCTTCCTGTTCCATCCCATCCCAGATGCATCCTCATCACAATAATTGACTCCCCAGGGCATCATGTTGGTCTCAGACAGTGTGTCCCTTTGGGGTGTGTTGCTGTGATATCTCAGCCCATACTGTATGTGCCCTGGTTTATTGTGTGAAGTCAAGCTAATCTATCTGTATTCCAATCTACGACAAGAACAACCTTCTTTCAGGAAGCCCCTCATGCTCAATGTCTTGAAGTTCACTTTCTATTTATTGAAGTGTGTATCATTCATTCCTGATTTGATTCAACTGCCTCTATCCCCCGAGCCTTCGCCTCCGGTTACATCCCCACTAATTTGCAGCCTAACCCCATAAGTGTTCCTTTACCTTGATTTGTGGTTGTTGTTGCTAATCTCTTACCTCAACTATGTGCTGCCTTGGTACAGTTCCATTTGAATTCTTGCAAATAGGTATTTAGTATACACACCTCACCCTGGTTTCCAATGACTCAAATATATTTGATTCAATCTTCTTGCCATTGTAGGAAGAGGTTTGTATTTGGAAGCTCACATTGTGTCCCGCAGCGATAGTGCTCTTTGCGTTGAAACATTGAGGGCATTTACAATGCTCGAGGAGTTGATGTGCAGTGCTGTGATGACAACAGCAAGATGAATGTCTTCAACATACAAAGGATCATAGTTGGAACTTACTTCTAGCCCAACACTTTTGGGCCCTCCAAAAATGACGCATTCCATGGCAACACTGGGCTCAGAGAGGTCAGACAACAACGGATAGGTTGTGGTGTTGAAGGATTGGGCTGCAGAGACAATGTCAGGGGAAACCCCACTCCAGCTGCTTCGTCTGGAACTCTGTTCACTCTGGCTGCTTCGTCTGTCCTTTCGTCTGTCCTTCTATCCGGGACTCCGCTTGTACTATCCGAGACTTCGTCCATCCGTCCATCTGGAACTTTGTCTGTCCATCCAGAGCCTCTGTCTGGTCTGGCAGACGGAACATCTGTCCGCTTGCACTGGTATGTGTTATGCAACCAAGCCCGGGATCATTGTAGATACCTACAGACACATGCTACTGGGTAGTATATAAGATTTCACCTAGTGTGGGAATCCCCATCCTTTCTTCTCTTTGGACTCCCCCGCTAGATGTGTAGTATTTCCACTCCTGTAATTAGTACCCATATTTATACTTTGGATTCCCCTGCTATTTTCCATGCCCTGAACTGAGCTTAAGGTTGCCCTTACAGCAGAAGAAAGGATCCAAGGGATCAACCAATCAAGATTGGGAAGTTTGGTGCAGGTACAGACTTGGACCACTACTCTAGTGCTCCATCCTCCCCCACTTCACATCTTGACCCCTCCTCTGTTCCGATGGACCAGCCACTTGCTCCTGGTGCCACGCAACCTGAGATCCTGAGCACCTCCGCTCCGGGTCCCACTTCCGACACCATGAACAGGCTAGCCATTGTTGAAGGCTCCCTTGCGAGCATTCATCAGATGCTCCAGCAGCTATTGCCCGACACACAAAATCCACCATCTACCCCCACCCCTACTGCTCCAGCTCTGGCGTTGGGTCCAGACTTCTTGGCCCTCCACCCAGCTGCAAAATTGGTCCTCCGACCGAACCCCTGGCCGTTGAAACACTGACTATGGGGCAAGCAGTGAAATAACCACAAACCAAACCTTGTAAATGAATACACGGTTTGATAAGGTAACTACAACAACTCAAACACTATAGTCCTCGTGCAAGTTCAGGGTTCCAATCCAGTATAGATTGTGGCAATTTGAACTCTAGTTCTCTTTAAGAAGCAAGACTTTACAGATCTACAAGTTGTATAGATAAAACTTGCTCAAATCTGTTCTAGGCGCAATCACGGATGGACAGACAAGATTTTATGTTCAACGGTTTTTTATGATGTGGGTTTAGGTTTGGAGGTAGTACTCCGATGCGTAACGCAAGTGATTCTTTATAAATCCCAATTCCAATAGTATCCACGATTGCTAATCCTTGCGATATTACAACCAATTGTCAAGTCCAATCTGTTTCCTTATATTTCACGCATCCATTCCGTTAATCCAATATGTCCACGCGTCGTTTATAAAGATCCAAATCCAACACAGATAATATTCAAACAGGGAAAACAAACGAAACTTGGTATAGCTTCTGGGTGTCTCCAAATGAATGCCTACTCTACCGGTTAAGCGTGAAGTCTAGTAACTTCGCGTCCAACAGGTGGGGTGAGATTCACTGGTGTTCCTCCCATAACCATCCACTTAAATATGTTACAGGATTCTAAATATAAACGAGACAGATACAAACATGCAGTAGGATTCAGGGTATATGACTAGTGGTATGGCCGTTAGCCGATGAACCCCTGTCGGATATCAAGCGATTAGTAAAATTGAGAGAGATTTATAAGAAACATCAACGAGCCGAGCTTAACGATGAGTCAAGATCTACATCGCTTAGAACGATTGTGATGGGATATTGTTGATATGTCAATTTTTAGCCGACCTCCTCGTCAGCACTCTGTTACCCTCCTTGGTAACCATCCACTCAAATGGTTCCGCCTTGAACCGCCTAAGTGATTTGTCTGAAAATTGTGATAGCCGCTGCTTCCCAGTACCCGAGTATGGTTTCTTAGTCAACTGGTAGGTTGACCAAGTCCAGCCTTCTCTTAGCGGTTTTGAAGACATCAGATGATGCCCGACAGTGATCCCCCTGGTTCAGAAGGATGTTCCCTTGTAATACACCTTTAGCCAGGAATGTGCAGTAGCCCCAATCCGTTTCCAGGGTGGTAAGGCACTTTCTGCGATTGCTCCATTAGCGGCTTCCCACGTCAATCCTTTACCAGGATTGTTGTCCAGTGCCTTTCTAATGGTTTGAGACACATTATATCCCTTTTAGCTAATTGCTCAGGCCAGCAATAGCCCTTGTGAGATGACGTCGTAATGTAATGAAGCACATTATAGTATGTTGCAATTCAAGCAGTTTTGAATAAATTCCCGGGTGCCCCAATACCAGGTCTGTCACCGTTTCGATGGCAACTGGATGCAAGGACAGATGTTCATCCATTCCATCCTTACCTACCTCCGGCTGGTTCTAGAAGCCTTCATAGTGGACAGGCACGTCTTGGAGGAAAAACTTGTGAGGTTCGCCATGTCCTTCATGGCAGAAGATGCGGCTGCTCGGTGGGCCGAGCGATGCTCGTTGGCCATTCCCTTCCCGTTTCCAACCTGGGTGGGATTCAAAGCCGAGTTTCGCCTCCA